AGGAATTACATCCTCAACGTTATTGAAAATTTCTGCAGGTGATGGATAAACTGATGTATCGTAGACTTGACTTTTTATATCTTCTTTGATAATATCAGCCGCGGCAACTACAATTCGCAATCGTTCTTCCTTTTCCGTAGAGGCTCTGTTCTGATACCAGGAGTCCATCAAAATTTTATATCCGGTATTTCGAAAGCAAACAATGGTTGGTCTCCCGGATTGCTCCATAAATATTAAATCAGTGGCGTATTTGTTTAGTAATTTTTGTTTCAATACCTTCGTAGACACTGGGAAATCGTCCATCACCTTGATGAGATCTTTAAGAAAGAATTGACAGTCATCACTATCTTCTAAATACTGGCAAACCTTCTGAAAGGCTGCTTCCACGCCTGGTGTCTTGGGTCTTCCAATGCTTGTATTTTTGGAGATCAATAAGAATTTAGCATAGCACGCCTTATGATATCGAGCATGAACTTGTAGAAGGGATACTGAAGATAGCCTCAATTTAACCGCCTGCGCCCATTCATCTTCATTTCCACGCTCTTCAATCGTTTCTTCTATACGCTGTTGTATCTGGTCAGTCGCGACAGTTCGGAATGGTTTTCGAGTTGTTTCATCACACTTTTTGCTACATAAAAAACAATCCATTAAATAGTCAAATTGAGCCTCAGCTTCAGGCTCTTTTATTACCACTTTCTTAATTGGTCTCAGCGAACAGTAAGCAATTCGACAGGGCTCATGCACTTCGATTTCCGTTAAAAGTTCCAAAATTTTCCACTTATCATCCCCTCTCAGTTTACTTTTCGCGCTAAAGTTATTAATGCCTCTCTGCTTCACTGTGGTTGTCACCTTGTCCCCTACTAAACTTCCCTCACAAATTACACAGACTCCGGAAAAAGACATTTTTGCGTCTATAACACGTTCAATAGTCACCCAATGCCCAGTCTTGGTATTATTGAAATCGAGGAAGCCGTAATAACGGTGTAAAGGAAACACTGTCAATAATTTGCACTACACTTAAGAGATATTTTGATATTTTTATCTAGACTAGCACTAGACTACTCGTATGCCACGTGGCTTGGGCCTTAACTGAATTATTAACGACTATCGGTTGAATGCAACTGAAGCAGGGACAGCTGCTCCATCCCGTTAGGGGAAGGGGCCAGGTATAGACCCTTCGATTCTAAAATACCACTAAGAGAGTCGGCATAATCATGAAAAAATTCGGATTTTCGTCCACACCGATGCTAGTAGTTTCACGTTTGAAAATAAACTGAGAAAATATTCGTTAATAATATTGTTAATAACATAGATCCTTCGATTCTAAAATACCACGAAGAGAGTCGGCAAAATCACGAAAAAAAATTGTACTTTCCATACGTGAAACTACTAGTCCACAGCGATACTAGGAGTTTCACGTTTGCAAATAAAGATAGAAAATATTAGTTAATAATATTAGATAATATTAGGCACTGAAAATGCAGGAAAAAGAAAATTAAGGGGACGGCGCCCTTCGATGACCCAAGGAGTCGAGGGGTAACAATACGGCTCCATTGCCTTATGCCTCAGGTAGATCATGCACTAAAAATGATACTTAAATGGTGAGGTAATTGAATTAGAGCGAGTGAATTGTGGTGTACTCCCATCAATTTTCGATTTTAGTTCAGGCAGACATAGTTTAGACTGTAATATGTTCTGTGCCCACTTTAAGGTTCATTGTATTTGGTCATTGCAAATTCTTGAGAATTTCCGTGTATTTCAATTGTTTCCTTAATCCTCCCCAGGTATACGCATTCGACGGAGCATTTGAAAGTTCTGCGCATGCCGCGTATATGCATAAGTGGCGCGCGCAACGGGGGGCCGGGCATACGTGATCAGCTGATTATTTGGGTCTTTTTGTTCCAAACTGTGTTAAAAAATTAATTAAAAAATAACAGTAGGCTCAGGAACATTACTTCTACTTGAAATTTGAAAAATGAGATCAGCCCAACCTTTGAATATGTTTACTTTTTCGATAGGATTAGACAAATTAATCCAGTGTAGTTTTTTGGCGTTCGCCCCAATTTTTTCATTAGTTTTTAATTAATTAAGGATATTTCTGTTAAACGTGTGGGTGCACATTTTTTATATAATGATCAGGGAAATTTTCTCTATATTTTGGTGTAATTTCAGCCTGTCAGGACTTTTTGAGGTAGTCAAGGTCCAATTTGACTGGCCTATGGGGAGGAGAACGCACACTGGAAGAGTTAAAAGCCTCTTCCGGGAAAATATCTTTACAGTTGTCATCAAATGCTTGTGATGTTGGGAAGGCTGTCATGGCGATTTGTTGAGAGAAACTTCATGAAAAGTAAATAGGCAGCAGATTTGACGATTTGCAAATTATTAGTAATCTACTCGATGGGTTCGAATTTCAATTGAAGAAAACAAAAACAAAAAAAGGTACTTCATATCTTTTCCTTACGTTGCAAATAGGAATGATTTCATAAAATTCTAAATCATTTTTTTTTGTTTTATCGAAGACTGACTTGTTAGGAGGTTACTTATCCCCCACATTCACCACACCGGGTACGAATTTGACTGTTAATCCTTTTATCGCACACAAGCTTCGATTTACACCGCGGAAAATTGAAAGATAGGACAGTTACTGGAAGTTGATTTTTTCGCTATTAAATTGCAATTTGTAAAAAAAATGCAAGAAAAGGTTGTGACGACCTAGTCGTCAATTTAAGAATTAAAAATTTATTGTCGATTTAATTACAATTTCGCGTCTTGGTTGAAACTCCCTTCATCGATCCCTCAATAGAAATATTGAGGGATAACCATGGAAATCACTCGTGGCTCATGCCAACGATGGTTTAACCACGTTCATTTATATTTTGGAGGATACTCATTGTCGTCACCCTGTAGAAAAATCTCTTCCGGGTCAGGAGGACGACAATGAGGGGAAAGGAGAGAGGACCGTACCGAGGATGACCACGTGACGATGACCGCGCCCCTTCCCCTTCGCGGATACCGTGGCCACCGGGAAATCGCCAGGAAAACTTTGGGAAAATTCGGGAAGGACGAAAACCCCCGAAATATTTGCGTGATGAGGTCCCGCAAACCCAGGACTCGGGGGAGTCTTCCGCCAGACGTCATGGACAACGCATCTACGAAAAAATACAATTTATAGTCCTAGTTCATGTAATAGTCACAGTCAAGTAGCGTCACAGTTCATGAAAATAACAATTATTTGCCTCGTTGTTATAAATAACTAAGAATAGAGTCAGTGGATCTTCGTTGAACTTCAAAGTCATAAGATCAGAGCTGATTGTGATAATGTCAAGTGAAAGTCGAGTCAATTGATGATTTGTTAATAATAAAATCGAACTATTATTTTTGTTTTGGAGTTTTTGGAATTACGGAGTCGAGAGTATTTGTGGAGTTATAATATTATTTTGTTTATGCCAACATTAACGATTTGATACCGATTACGCTATTTTTTTTGTTTGATTATGAATAAATTGATTCTAATATTATTTGGAAAATACTGTGTTTGTGTAAAATTGATTCGAAGTGATAAGAACGTAAGGGGTTTCGTCCCCCTTCCCCCTTGAGATTATTAGAAATTGACCTAGCTGGAATTTGTTAGTTTGTCCCGGAATTATTGGAATTAAAATAAAAGCTAACTGGCGTCCTTCACGGTAAAAATAAATTAAAAATAAATATAATCAAAAAGTCCATCGTCACAAGGTATTCTGTCCTTTTGAATGCTCTTTCGAATGGAATTGGTTCAATGAAATTCTGAGCAATAGTTTTTTTTTATTGTAAAAACAATTTTTCGCGGGGGTAGTTCACCCCCTAAATTTCAACCACTGCGGATGATTTTAATTCACATATTCATCATTCATCATGAGCTTTCTTTTACATGGCAAAATATTTGTCTGAGTATTCTCTTTATATACGCAAACGACAACATAACCTGAGAAGTGGGCTACTTCAGTGGACAGTTTTGCCTCCAAAATCCACGTATTAGTCGATAAGAAAAAATACGTTTCCCTTAGTTTTGACTCCTCTATAACATATACAAGTTTCATCAAAATCGGAGGCGGACACCTACCTCGGGTTCCTTGTTAGTCATATCCCCTATTATCTATGTTCAGCAATTTTTTCTTGAGCTGCTTATTTACTCGGTTTCATTGACAAAATCTCGAATTTGATAAAAAGGACATGCCACGGTAGTGACATTTAGGCTTGTTTCAGCTCTCTAAAGCTAAATAAACGGTCAGGTAATGGCATCTATTTTATGGAAACGGTGAAATGTTATAGTGTCTCCCGACATCCGGAGAAATTTGATTATTATTTCATCATTTTGAGATTGGAAATTTGAAGGACAAGAAAATAGCAATTTGTAGATAATCATCCATATGTTGACTTAGCACATGGAATATGGAACTTAGCGATTTTTATGCAGATAAACACAAGGCATGTTCAGCTCAAGTTAACTTAATTTTTTGGCAATAATAACTGCGCACGAGGACGTATTTCACGATATAATTTCGATAACATTGTTAATTGCATGATGTTTCATCCTTGGCTTTTGTCTGACGAGAAAATATCTGGGTCTGTCAGAGGACGGTTATCGTCCACGGTGATGAGACCTATATACAGTGGAACCTCCATAAGTGCTTGCCTTCATAACTGCAGTCTGTCCCAGCGAAGGAGAGGGACTCTTCCCCCACCATTACATTTCCCCTCTATGCGCGTTCTCTTTCTAACCTCTTTCGCTCTCTGACCGATGCGCGAGGAGTGTGCGCAATGGTATTATGTTTACCCGATCAGCCGGCGTGTGTGTTCACTTGAGAAATGTGGAAAAAATGGCCAAGTGTAATGAAAAAAAAACAAAAAAATCGTGGGATTTGGCTGTCAAATTGAGAGCGATAGATGAGGTGAGACGTGGTACAGATACCGGCGTTGTAGCCAAGGAATTAAATGTGCATGTGACAACAGTACAGAGATGGATGAAGAAGGAGGAAAAGTATAGGAAATGGGTGGAGGATCACGAGGATGTTTTACTGTCTGGAAAGAAGAGGATCAAACTTCCAATGCATCCACTGGTGTATGAAGCTGTTTGGATGTGGTTTAAGCAGCATCGGATTGCAGGATTTCCTATAACTGGCCCAATACTCCAGATCCAGGCACTAAATTTTTGGAAATTGTTTGGGGCTACTGCAGAATTCAAGGCGAGTCCAGGGTGGTTGGAAAAGTGGAAAGTTCGACATGGTATAAAGCGTGTGATACTTAGTGGGGAAAAAGTGTCTGCTGATGAAGCTGGTGCAGCAGTATACAAGGAGAAGTTTGCCAAAATCGTGAGGGAGAGGAGGGTTTGACACCCGACCAAGGTTTCAATGCTGATGAGACATCTCTAAACGTTCGTCAGGTGCCTAGAACATCATTAAATTCTGCCAGTGTCACTGCTGCAGCAGGATTCAAAGTCCAAAAGGAGAGACTCACTGTGATGGCCTGCTGCAATGCCTCTGGTACATTTAAACTACCTCTGGTGGTAATTGGCAAATATGCCAAGTTTCGTGCTCTCAAGAACTTGAGCACACTTCCAGTAATCTACAAGAACCAGAAAAGCGCCTGGATGAGTGCCTTTTTGTTTGAGGACTGGTTCAAGACTCAATTTGTGCCTGAAGTGGAGAAGTTCTTGGCATCCAAGGGGTTACCACCAAAAGCAATCCTGTTCGTGGATAACTGTTCAGCACATCCTCCTAAAGTAGCTGTCAATGAGATCAGAGTGGAATTTCTACCACCTAACACGACTCCATTGATTCAGCCCATGGACCAGGGGTGCCTCCAAAATATTAAAAGTTTGTATAAGATCAGACTGAAGGCATTTTATCATGGAGCAATTTAATAATGGAGCCAGCATTCCCCAAGCATTAAAAAATGTAACGATTCGTGAGGTAATATTTTAACAACTCAACAATTAGTAAAACATGGAAAAGGTAAAAAAATTATATGTTGTAATGTTACTCACTAAATGTTGTGAAATCGTAGTGAAATTCTTTTTGATATTTATGTTCATCAATCACATTCCCGATTTTTCTTAATTACACAATTATCTCGATAATGAGTGCCTTTTAAAGGGAAATTTAAAAAGACCTTTTTTATAACTCGTGAAATTTCCAAAGATTTTTTTTCAATTTTCTCCTGCAATCAGTTATTAACGAGAGAACAATCAATACAAATTGATTATTTGTGTTAATTGAAAACTGGCATTTTTCACATCTTGTTAAATTGTTATTTACCTTCATAATCAGACATTTTTCGAGAAAATGCTAAAAATCTTTTTTTGTAGCCAATAAAATTTATAGTAAAAAAGATCTTTTTACATTTTGATCGAAAATCACTTTTGGAGATGAAGATAACAAGTAACAAACATCGATTAAGCCTAATCCACCATTTAATTTTCTGAATACGTTCACTCTATGTTTTGCAGCTTTGGCCTGATATCATGGAGATCATGGCATCAACTGATTCAACTGAAGCTGCTACAAATGTTTCATATACCGAAGAGCAAGAAACTTTGATCCACAATTTCCATGAGCACCTTCAAAACCACGAGGATTATGTTGGACTACAATTGGATGATGAATAATGTTTGAATGAAGAGGAGATTATGCAGGTTGTCCAGGAAGAACACAGTGGTATATCTGAAAATCACAATGAAGATGGGAAAGAAAACGAAACTAGCAATGTGGATCACAGAGATTTAATTGCCAAAGAGTTATCAGAAGCCCAGGAAAATCTGAAAAAAGTTATCCATTTCTGTGAGAAGTTTCCCCATTACTCTAAGGGACAATTACAAGGCTTATATCAAGTCAGAGACGCAATGGAGACCCAAATGTCAATGCCAACCTCTCATTCCAGTCATTCTTATCTACATTAGTTTATTATGAAAAAGACAGAATTTATCTGTGATTGTCTCTTGTCATGTAAAAAATGTAATTTTTTGTGTGATACATTTAGTTGCATAATAGTAGAGCATAATAATTGAATACTGTCGTTTGTGATAATTATGATAATTATCTTACAAGTTGGACATTTCAGAACGAGATGTAGAAATATGTTTTTTTGTAACGTTTCCAAAAAGATATCTTTGAAAGAGATAATTGGTAATGAGAAAAATCAGTTGAAGTTTTCCCCTAAAACTCCTCGTTATTCAGATAATTGATTAAATTATTAAAACTTGGAAGAGTGAAACGTTGCTCGCACTTCCTTCTCCTTGTCATTTTCTCAAACCAATGTAATAATTTAATCTCCCATATTTCAGATGTCAGAAATCCTCTTTAGCAGTAAGTAGTTTATTATTTAAAAAAATAAATAATGTATCTGTTATGTAATTTTCTCATTTAGAAAATGTCAATTCTTACGTGATTCATCAAATGTGATTTAATATCATCATTTAAAAAATGAACAATGATACGAATAAACGCATTTGCTAAAATGATTTTTTTTCTGTAATTTATCCTTTAATATTGAATTCTTCCGCATCTCCTATTTGAATTTGGCTACTTCGCACGCAGGCCGTTTAGTGGTTAATTTCCCCACCCTTCCCTCTACACCCGTCTCTTTCTGACTCGGCGCTCTCGCTCTTTCGCTGGCGAAGAAGGGTCCTTTCACAATTGCAGCTTCCAAGAACTCGAGCCCCCAGAGGCGTGCATTTATGGAGGTTCCACTGTAGAAATCACGACTTTCTCCATCGATATAAGACGATAACTTCAATAAATCTTTCTTCTTCTCTTTATTGATAGGGTTGGGGGAAATAGGAAGATGAGAAACCTCCAGTCGTGGCATAGAATTCTTTTTCTTCATATCCAATAGTAAAAATTTGTCATTCTCCTGAAGACTGCATTTGTATTGAATCAAACTTAGAATGGAGTGCCTATATCGCATCCACTGCACTAGTCTTCACATAAATTTCGCTCCAGTAGTGTTAAGGTTTGGTTTTTACAAACTATCATCATCTAGAAGATCAGAAAATTCAAATTGTTTTTGTGCATTCATCACAACCACTTCGTATTGTTTACTCATGTCGCGTTCCATATTATAGTAGTCTTTGGATACATGATTATTTTCAGTTTTCTTCTTTGCACGCAACGAGTAGCAAGCAACGAGTTATTTTTCCACTCCTCGATAAGCGTCAAATTATCTCATTAATCAGTAATTTTTTAGAGCAAATTCATAAGATATTTTTTGTAGAACATTTTCGGAGCCATTTCCTCCTTGAAATTTACTGATTATCGAGATAATTGGATGGTTATCGAGAAGCAAAAAAACGGTTTAGTACCCTCTAACACTCCCCGACTGATATTTACTTTTCAAATCATTTTTTGTTAAGTGGTGGTCAAAACTGTCGGAAAGAAAAATGAAAAGTAAATATGAAAAGAGAGAGGGAGAGAGAGAGAGAGAGAGAGAGAGAGAGAGAGAGAGAGAGAGAGAG